CCCCCCCCCATAAAACTCAACATTGATGAGGTGTTCAAAGGTAGTTATAAAAAGGTAGGATTGGTAACATTTTTCGGAATAACTCTGGGGACTGGGTTCTAGGCTATCATATGTCCTCTTATGGCTACACCTCAACCTACATGGAACTTTTTGCACTAAAGAATGGCCTTCATATTGCACAAACAAATAATTTTCATAGCTTGAAAATTGAAACTGATGTTACAGATACTTCAATTGCTTTGCTATAACAACTATTCCTTCTACACTAACATTGTTAATGAATGCAGGTTACTACCGAAGAAAATGGGGAATCCAATGATCTGGCATAACTTTCGAGAAGGAAATAAAGTTGCACATGTTTTGGCTACAGAAGAATCCAAGCAGTCAAGCACCACTCCCCTATCAATAATAATCTACCCGCCTAATACATTTTAGAAACTACACCATGAAGACAGAACTGGAGCACTAAGTATTAGACTAGTATCTACTAATGTACTAAATAACTTGGCTGAACTTGACAACCTTAATTGTATTTCGGATGCTCCCAATGAGACATCACTCCCATGTAATGTCACTAGTTAAGTATTAATAATATTTTGTCGCTCAGCAAAAAAAATCCTAAAAGATTATTTACCACTTATAAAATGTAACTTAAATATATACTTAATACATATTATATTATAATAAAAATAATAAACTTTGTGATTAATTTTTAAAAGGACCATTCTATTTATAATTTTAATAAACTTAAGTTATAATTTATAATAAGGTATATAATAATTTAATTATAGGTTCACGAAAAGTACCATATAAATGTTTCTAAAATTGTAGAAATTTTAATTAAGATGACACCATTAACTATTTACAATATACAAGGAGAATTAATTTATTTAAGGGAGAAGGAAATAATAAAAGAGTTAGGGGGCATCATCGAACCAATTAACATATGAATTATAATAATTTTTGGAGTGGAGTTAAAGAGTCCGTTAAAATGGGAACTTTTGAGTTTTGAGTACTCAATTATAAAATATTTATTCTTATACACACTTAAAAGAGTTTATAGAAATATCAAGCCTTAGTATGATAAATAAATTAACATGATAAAAAGTTCAGCATATCAAATGAGCCTCTTAGTTTGTGACACAAACTTCTAAGAATTAAAATTGACTTCTAATAAAAAGAGTGCAAATCGTAGGGCATAATTATTATATAGAGGAATTAATCAAGCATGCAACCTTGTAGTTGGGGCTTGGGACTTTTATGTAATTACAATGCTGCTTCAATTGAATTGAAAAAATAGATATTTTACTTAAATGTGTGTCCAAGAGTAATTCGAGTTTAGTTTTCAATGGAGAACAAATATATGAAAAAGAACCCGTTTAAACTAGGCATGCATTAATTATCATAATGAAATAAATACGAGATAAATTTACTCGTATCAATTTGATTCATCTTTTCTTAAATAATGGTAAAACATTTAGTTTTAATAAAAAATAATATATTAATCGAGATCAATTATATATTAGTATCATCAGAGAAAGGGTAAGGTACAGAAGAAAAATAAGGACGAATAGGATAGAAAAAAGTTATAATCGAATAATTGTAAGTGTATGAATGGTAGCGCATATAGATAAACTGCAAGCAGTGGCGAAGCCAGAAAATTCAATAAGGTGTTCAGACTATTGTTAGTGGGTTATGTAAGGGTGTTCAGACTTTATTTTTAATCAATAATAAGTAATATTTTACCTTATACGTAGTATAATTTTCGGCTAAGGGTGGTCAGTTGACCACCCTTGGGCCAATATAGCTTTGTCCCTGACTGGTAAAAATTACACGGGGCGCCCTATTTGGTCACCCTCATTTAACCTATACTTACTTTTTAAAAAAGTTTTAACATGTACCCACCTTTTAAATAACTTGAGGCCCCTTTCTCCTCCTTCATTTTCTCCTCCTCTTTCTCCTTCTTCATCTGCTTCTTCTTCTCCTCCTTCTCTTTCTCCCCCTCCTTCGTTTTCTCCTCCTCCTCCTGCTTCTCCTCCTCCTTCTTCTTCTTCTTCTTCTTCTTGTGACAATGATTTTATATGGTAGTTGTAAACATATTTTAATATAGTTTATGATATTTTACAATGGTGAGCTGTTATGACACTTTATTGTTTATACTATTGCTTAAGGTTTCTTCTTCTTCTTCTTTTTCTTAATTGCAAAATGGGTTAATTAGATTTATTGTTATTTTGACAAATTGATGATTGAGGTTTGTTCCTGATGATATTTGGAGGTTATGTTTCAAATTTGAGCTCAATTGGAGTAGATTTAGGTATTAAATCATATATTGGATTGTTATAATTCGACGAACAAATTTCTGTTTCTGGGCAATTTGCACTTCGTGCCTTTTGGCCTTAAGTGCATCTAAAATGTAATTTTCACTTCAGACTTATTGGCCTTAAGTGTAGCAAAATGTTTGTTGCACTTCAGACCTTTTGGCCTTAAGTGTATCTGAAGTGCAATTTTTCACTTCAGACTTATTGACCTTAAGTGTAGCAAAACGTTTGTTGCACTTTAGACCTTTTGGACTTAAGTGCATCTGAAGTGTAATTTTTCACTTCAGACTTATTGACCTTAAGTGTAGCAAAACGTTTGTTGCACTTTAGACCTTTTGGACTTAAGTGCATCTGAAGTGTAATTTTTCACTTCAGACTTATTGGCATTAAGTGCATGAAACCATTGGTTACCCTTCATACCTATTTGGCCTTAAGTGCATCTGAAGTACAAATTTTCATTTCAGACTTATTGGCATTAAGTGAATGAAAACGTTTGTTGCACTTCAAACTTTTTGGCCTTAAGTGCATTTGAAGTGCAATTTTTTACTTCAGACTTATTGGCCTTAAGTGCATATGAAGTGCAATTTTTCACTTCAGACTTATTAGCATTTAAGTGCATGAAACCATCGGTTGCACTTCAAACCTATTTGGCCTTAAGTGCATTTGAAGTGCAATATCACTTTAGACTAATTTTTTTTTAACTTCAGACCCGATAAGTCTGAAGTTGATCGTAATGTGGGTATGTTTGCAAACTTTTTTGTAAAGTGAGTATAGATTCAATTGTGACCCAAAAATCGGGTATTGATGCAAAAGCTAGTAACTGCTTTTTCTCATTCTTACAGTAAAAAGCAACAATAAGAAATATGTTTTTATAGTTCAATTTGTAAATTATTCTCATATATCCACAAAAGTCTTTCTTGCCCGCTATGTTCATATAAATAATTTAAAATTTAAAATGTTATAATGATAATCAAACATACATAGATTACGCAAAATTAGGGCACACCGAGATAGAGCAGAGCACCATCGGCCAAATTGAAGATGACGAGAATTCCTCTGCTGCGTTACTCTTGCAATGGTATTTCCTTTAGCTCATCTTTTGCTATTTCCCGTTCGAGTTCGGAATTTATAATCAGAGATTATTCTTCTTTTCATAGCAATATTGAGAATGTCAAGTGTTTAGATGATGCTCCGAGTCTCTTTCGTCAAATGGTCAGAACGCAGCCTCTTCCTTCTGTTTTCGACTTCTCCAAATTATTAAAGACTATGGTAAATACGAAGCATTACTCTGCCGTTGTTTCCCTTTTTCGAGAAATGCGGAAATTAGGCATCCCAATTAATGATTTCATCTTAAATATAGTGATTAACAGTTATTGCCTAATGCATTGTTCTGACTGCGGATTTTCAGTACTAGCCATTTACTTGAAGAATGACATTCCATTTGATGTTATCACATTTAACACCTTACTAAGGGGACTCTTTACTGAAAATAAAATCAAAGATGCGGTTAACTTGTTCAAAAAGTTGGTGAGAGAGAATATTTGTGAGCCTGATGAAGTCACGTATTTGACAGTCATGAATGGGCTTAGCAAAAGGGGCCATACTAAAAAAACTTTCGATTTGCTAAGAGTAATGGAACAATGAAGCATCAAGCCAGACACTAGAATCTATAACGTTGTTATAGATGCTCTTTGCAAGGATAGAATGATGGATGCTGCTATTAGCCTTTTGAGCGAAATGAAACAAAAAGGCATTCCTCCAGATGTTGTCACATATAGTTCATTGATTGATGGTTTCTGTAAGTTTGGTCAGTGGGAAAAGGTTAGGACTTTGTTCTCTGAAATGGTAAATATTAATATTTATCCTAATGTGCAAACCTTGACCATAGTGACCGATGGACTATGCAAAGAAGGGAAAGTTGAAGATGCCGAGGAGGTAATGAGACACATGATCGAAAAAGGTGTAGAGCCAGATGTGGTCACCTACAGTGTGATAATTGATGGATATTGCTTACGCGGTCAAATGGATAGAGCAAGGAGAATTTTTGATTCCATGATTGACAAGAGCATTGAGCCTAACATTTTTAGCTATAACATATTAATAAATGGATACTGTAAGAAAAAGAAATTGGATGAGGCCTTGCATTTGTTTCATGAAATTTCTCAAAATGGATTGAGACCTGACATTTTCACCTACAATACTATCTTGCAAGGTCTATTTGATGTTGGAAGAACTGACTTTGCGCAAAAATTCTTTGTTGAGATGCAATCTACAAGGCTCAAACCTAATTTATGCACTAATCGCATTTTGCTCCGTGGTTATTTTCTGAATGGACTTGTTGAGAAAGCTATGTTGCTATTTCATGAGTTGGAAAAAAAGAGAGAAGATATTGATATTGAACTTTACACTGTTATTATTGACGGATTGTGCAAAAATGGTCGGCTCGAAAAAGCTCATGCTATTTTTGAGAAGCTTTCTTTGATTGGATTGTTTCCCAATGTGATTACATACACTACAATAATTAATGGACTATGTCTAGAAGGGTTGTTAGATGAAGCTAAAGATATGCTAAGAAAAATGGAGCACAATGGTTGTTCGCCAATCAACTGCACTTACAATGTTATTGTGCAAGGATTTCTCAAGTGTGGCAAAATTAGTGAAATGAACACTTTTTTGAAGGAAATGAGTGGAAGGGACTTCTCGTTTGATGCAAGTACTGTAGAGTTACTAATAGACGTTTCAGCAAAGGATCCTTCTTTGCTTAATATGATACCACAATTTCACTCGGGAAGTTAGAAGTGAGTATTTATTTCACTTGTTATCAATATGATGTAATTTCCTTTTACCTTGGCCAAAGAAATCGCATCCAATGGAATGGCAGAAGGTGAAAGCACCACAATTAGAACATTGCTTAAGCTTTCCAAGCTAGCTTATTTAAGAGGTACACCTGTTCTGATTTTTAATTCTTTTGCCGCTCTGCTTTTTGTTCTGAATCATATTTTATTGCACTCTTAATATGAGAAGTAACACGAGTTTCCTTATGTGTGCACATTATAAGTCTAGGATTATCATTTTCAGTGGTATTTAGTCATCTTCAGGTGTTATCATTTTCTAAGTTTTTGAATATCAATAACAACTTCATGCCATATGAGAAGCTTCTTTCTGTGTTCCATGAGGGAGTGCAATGTGGTGCTGGCATGGTCCCTGGAGTCGATAATGTCATACACGTGCCACTCTTACTATACTGCTAATAATTGAATTTTTACCGTTGAGTCACCAAAAAATAATGTAACTAATCGTCCATAAAAGGTGATACTAATTACTTGAAAAATAAAATAGGTTTAGCTTACAACACTTATTGGAAAATACAACAAACAAAGTAAAGGATCCATACAGGTTATAATAGTTAGTTGAGATTAAGGTATGGTTATTCTTCTTAAACTTACATTAGGTCTCATATTTAGCGGAAATATCTTTACTTTGGTTGGAGATTTATATGTCAATGAAAATCGAGGCAAGTGCACAGATAGTCATTCTCAAGGATGTTATTTATATCCGAAATTTTAAACTAAAAATCTTAACTTATGGATTTGATTCATTGATCGATTGATTGATAGATATCTATATACCCGTTTGAAGGGAAAAATCAAGTACATACGTGTGTTAAGTTTTAGGATCATATAAAGGAGAGAAAATATGTTATGAAGAACATACAAAGCGCATATATTAAAGAAGCCGATATAGCAAATATCAATTTGCCAGAACTAAGCCTACATATTATTTCTTGGAGAATAGTGTTCTCCCTGATTCTTGCACATAAAAGTAAAACTGCTCTTGTAATTTCAAAGAGGACTTATCTTTGGATCGACTATCTCACTTGGTGCTGGCCAACTGTGCGCGGAGAAGCTTAGCAGCGGCTACCATGTTGCTGAGAGCGGGATTAACTTCAGTATACTTGCGCGTCTTGAGGCCACAATCAGGGTTAACCCAGAGGATGTTGGTATCAAGAACTGCAAGCATTTTGCTGATTCTATCAGCAATTTCTTCTGCCGATGGAATCCTTGGCGAATGGATGTCGTATACTCCAGGGCCAATGCCAGCACCATACTTCACTCCTTCACGGAAAACAGAAAGAAGCTTCTCATCTGACCTGGAGTTCTCGATCGTGATCACGTCAGCGTCCATGTCGATAATTGAATGGATGATGTCATTGAAGTTTGAATAGCACATGTGGGTGTGAATCTGTCACAACAAATGGCAACAATGATCAGAATCATATAAAAGAAGATAAAATTCTACACACCTTTTTTTACTAATAAACCAGCAAGGCTAGCTGGCGTATGGTCTGAAACTCGGTGGCTAATAACCTACCCCTCTACCCTTCTCTACTTAAAAATCATTGAACTCGTGACATGCGCCTAACCCACACATCATGTGCTACGCTTTAACTACTGCAACAAAGCTTTGAGGTAAAGAAGAAAATTACTACCATAAAGAAAAAAACTTCCCTAATAACACAAAACACCTCCCGGCTCTACCGAGCTCTTAGCTTTATCAGACAATTATTGGGAAAAAAGCACCAATTTCACACATATGGATTTGCTTATGAGTCTTTCCATCCCCTTGTTTCAATACCGTTGGACATGGGAAACATTATGTTCCTTAAACTTTTCTAATATTCTTATCCTTTTTCTTCCTGCTCTGTGAGGAGAGGCGAAGCAAGGATTTGAGGAAGTGTTACTTTGTACATATTCAATGAATTTCTTAAGACAAATACAAGATTTGGACCAAAGCTACTTGGGTTCGGCCGAACCCGTATCCCACATGCTAGCTCCGCCCCTGTCTGTGAGTGAAGGGGTGCATGAATTTCGGGAGCTAGTTTAGTAGGATAATACATAGACTATCCAGGATAGATATTTTGATGTAGGAAGAGAACTTTTGAAGAAGAAGCTAACATAAGATACTTTTGCACATACTTATAATTATATTTATAATGAAAACTTAGAGTGAATATGGACCTGTGTAGTGTCTTGAACACCACAGTTGGTTATCCTGAATGAATGTACAGCCCAGTTCAAGTAGAAAGCTTCCTCGGATTTTCTAAGAGGCAAACCCTCTCTCAAAGCAGCTTCATCAATCTGAATGACATTAATACCAGCCTTTTCAAGATCTTCAACCTCATCCTTAATAGCCAAAGCAATTTGATAGCAAGTCTCAAACCTAAAAAAACAACAACGAATCAGTTAAACTAAAAGTGCGGCGGGAAAGAAAGATAGACTATTGTGTTCAAGCTTAAGAGTTCGAACCTCGGCTGGTCATCTCTAACAAAAGACCAGTTTAAAATAGTAACAGGACCGGTAAGCATTCCCTTCATCGGGCGCTTACTCATGCTCTGTGCCAGTGAAGACCAAAAGACGGTCATTGGTTTCGGGCGACTAACATCACCGTAGATAATTGGTGGCTTAACACAGCGGGATCCATATGATTGAACCCATCCATTGGCTGTAAAAGCAAAGCCAGATAATTGCTCCCCAAAATACTCAACCATATCGTTTCTCTGCATTTTGATGATGAAATTTAAATGTTCTCAGCTTCTTTGACATAAGCATATAGACAATTACTTGACTTCTATATCTCACCTCCGGCTCTCCATGCACAAGAACATCAATGTCTAGCTCTTCCTGGAGTTTGACTACTTTGCTGATTTCCTCTGTTATATACTTGACATATCCTTCCCCCGAGATCCTTCAATAGTCAGAGGAAAATTTTTTTAGGGGTTTTTTATTTTTGGCCCGTCGGCAGAAATTAATTGTGGGCGCTAGCCCAAATATACAAAACATATACACTGATTATGTATATTATATGTATATTTATGTATATTATACTTAATATACAAAACACATACATTTGCCCGCTATTATCTTTTACGGCAGCCCAAAAATTTAACATGCAGACATAAACCATAACAATATTAAAAAGAGTAACTGCACAAGTAAATAGCTAACTTGTTAGCCTTGTATTCTCGGCGAACTTTTCTTAGCTCTAACGTCTGAGGGAAAGAACCAATAGTAGTGGTTGGAAGAACGGGAAGATTCAGCTTCTTCTGTTGAGCTTCCAACCTTACACTGACATTTGTGGCTCGGCGATGATCAGAGCCCTTCAAAGAAGCAGCCTGAACATGAGATGCGAATTATGAGTCGATAATTCCAAACAGCTTAAACTATAATAAAATCGATATAAATTATAGAACACCTAAATATACTTACAGCCTTCTGAACAGCCTCGTTTGTCACTCTAGGAGAGGATTTTCTGGAAGTGCGAGCTGCAGCATTAGCAGAGAAGAACGCCTGCAGACAGAAACTTCATTGTAAAATATGACCAATATTACGATTTAAAGATTCATTACTATTTAAATCCGATTATGTTCTAGATTTATCTTTGCCTAATCCAGAATGATGATAAATCTTCCATGTAGATAATTAACATAAATATGTAAAATACCTCGTCTCTTTGGCCAGCTAATGCCTTTGCCAATGCATTGACTTCCACCAATTTTTGTGCAGCAAATGCAAGCCATGACTTAATTTCTTCATCCAACTTAGTCTCATTCACTAAATCAACTGCAGTGTGGAGAAGCGAGCAGGACGTGGAGACCACAAGCTTGTCTGAGGAAAAGAAATGCCCAAAAACATCACTCATATGCTTCCAATAATGCATGGACTAAGATCATTTTCACTTATAGAAATAGTTATATATAGTTGCAAAGATTTCACTAATTTCATTTATTTCCTTATTTCGAGATAAAGCAAAGAGCAAACCAAGGATTCACTTTACTGGTACACGTCTAAAAATCAACATGCAGACCAAAAGTGTAGAAAGTCTTCCAAATTTTGGAAGACTAACGTTGTATAGATAAATGTGGTGATAACAAAGGATAATGGAATAACCAAACAGCCGAAATTGCTCGACTGCAATACTTCAAATTTTGAAACAGATCTTTTGGTGCCTATTCTATGCCGTTAAATTCCCTAATGAAAAGCTAGAGAACAAAAAGGAAATCACGTGGACTCAGATTTCACGATTCAACCTATAAAAGTGCAGTTATAACGAATTACCTTTTCCAACTATGTTCTCAAGAGCTTGCAAGGTGCTGAGAGAAGAAGCAAGATCGTTAGCCCATATATTCCTCCCATCAACTACTCCGGCGAAAAGATACTTTTCCGAAGGAAAACTGCTCTTGATCAAATCAAGAGTCTTCGATCCACGAACTAGATCAAACCCCAATGCAGTCACACCTTTTAAAGCGGTCACTGTTTTGAAAGCTTCAGCAGGAACATCGGCAAAGTACGTCTCGATGAGGACGTTTAAACCAGAAAGTGATGACTCTAATTCTGAGTAGGCATGAGAAAATTCCCGTAATTGATGAGAATCAAGATCTTTAACAAGAGTAGGCTCATCAAACTGAATCCAACTCGCACCAGCTGCCTTCAGTTCAGTAATGACTTCCCTAAATGAGCAGCACGATATAAGGCAGTTGTGGTGAACATTTTGAGATAGATATACAGGAATAAATAATAAATAAGGGGAATTTGTTTGATCTTACTTGTAAACAGGAAGAATCTTGTCAATCAGTGAGAGAAGAGGAAACGACTTTTCAACACCTTTTGCTGCTTTTGATAACAGGAGGAAGGAAACTGGACCGACAAGGACAGGGACGGTGTCAACACCTAGCTGCGGAAAAAAAAGGTTGAAACCAATATCGGCACATCAAATAATTCCTAAAGATTCAGTTAATTGGAGGAACAAACTAAAACAACTGACATGTAGCTATCAGTTATACTAGGAAAATACGAGTCAATACCATATCAAGATGGTTTTCAATCAAGACAACAAAATAGGGGTTACTAAGTGCAATTCTACTCTGATACCGATGATACAAAGTGCTCATCGGACCTCTAAGCAGAGTTGCCCTTTTCGGTATATCCTCGAATTATGCATCACAGTCTTTTTGGTTTTCCTATCTTAATATGTAAATAATCCTGAAAATTGTGGTCTCAGGCTCAAATCCCAGCGGAGACAGAAAAACACTAGATGATTTCTTCTCATCTGCCAAACCTTGGTGAACAAAATTACCTGGTACTTGTTGTTGGTGGGAGATAGTAGGTATCCCGTGGAATTAGTCGAGGTGCGTGTAAGCTGGCCCGGATACCACGATTATATAAAATAAAAAATAAAAAGAACCACCCATAAAGTGATCTCATTGCAATGGCATATTTGATGCTTGTGAGGCTGAGAACCCCTTAT